GTGCTGAATATATATTCTGCCCGGGTATTGTGTCTTCTTTCGTCTTTAGGGAAGTCCCGGGAAGCTACGTGTATGCAGAGTCCTGGGACTCCTTGTAGACGGAAGAAGACACAATATCCGGCAGAATATATATTCAGCACAGAGAAGGTGTCTGGGCTACTGGCATGGCCCAAAGGCCAGCCCACCCAGCGGGGTACAAGAAGACAAATTCAAAAGTCCAAAAGTAAAACCTCACCGATATCGAGGGATAAACCACTATCGTATTACATATATCTGTTCTCTCTAATTATTGTCTTCTTTCGTCTTCAGAGATGTTCTGAAGCGCTACAGGAACTTGTGGATAACTGACCCGCCACAGGTTCATTAACGGGGACTCAAATGATCATTTGTAAAAACTGATGCTTAAACAAACTAACGAATAAAGTCTTGTGATAGCAATTTGCGTACGGATTAGATGACTGGTTTGGTATGCATGAGCATACATTATCAAAAATTAATAAGTTTAGTGCTTTGCCATTTTATACAAAACCATAGCACAATTTTTTTCGCTTTAGCATTGAAATATGGTTTTCTCTAGGTTCAAAGCTATTTTTGACCATATCGTGTCAGAGAGATGCCTTCACAAATAATAATTCAATTAATAGGCTATTGTAAAAGTGCTGCTTCAGAACAACATTTTTAATTTCTGTTAAAGTTTTTGCCGAGTGCTAAAATTTGCTATTGTTTTAGGTATTTTAATCTGACTCCATCTCTTCAGTCTTTGTTTTAACGTACCAGCATCGCGAACATGGTATGCACCACTCAGAGGCGACCTTTCAACCTCTTGGTCTTCACGGATGGTCGAAGGAGCTTTACCTTGAGTATAAGGTAGCTCACTTTTGTATTACGCCGAAACCAGAATCACAGTTTTCAGCAATTTCGAAAATTACACCAGGTTTTGCCCCCAGGACACTATTCAATGGTAATCCTATTTTTTGAAAATCAAGCCTGCCTTTAGATGGATTCAAGATTTCGGAGTCCTGTTGTTCCACGAAAGGTCGTCGGGGCCGAAGAAGCAGCAACGTCTTTAGCAAAAAAGTCCAAAAGGTCAAAATCAACAGTGAGAATCGTCTTGGCTTTGAATTATCTTTTTAGGAAAACTCGCTAGAAAAGGGTGATCCTTTCATGCGCATGGCTGCTAAAGGCAAAACAGACCCTGAAGATCCAATGTCAGTTCTAAATAAAAGATGGTCTGTTGTAGCTAAAAATCAGGAAACGGTTTGTTAATCTATTTGACTAGTCCTGTTATTAGATGTCCAAACAAGAACTCTTAAACAATTATCGACTTCTGATGAATGATCACCTTCGACTTGAAAGATTTCTTTCTATTATTACAAAAGATAATGAAATGGTGAGGTTACTGGTCATTTATGTGATGATAATTTATTATTTGGTCACTGTTTATAATTGTTTTACCTTGTGAAACTTTTTATTTCTGCACAACTTCTCCAACAACTTAGGATATTCGGAATGCCATTTTCTTACATAATTGCAGGCTCGTAATCGCCTGGAGACGGATCTTTTGGACGCGATGATGTGTATTGAGGATTTAAAACAAGCCTTGGAAGTAAGAATGGCACGCGTAAGTATTTTTATGTTTCATTGCAAGCTATTTTTGAACAGATTACTTGAGTATCAATTCCGTACTTTATAACGCATCCATCTAAATTAAATTACTACGTGCTCTAAGTCATTGTGTTCGTTTCAAAATGGTCCTTTGTTTTGCGATTCAAAATACCAAACAATGCGCCTTGTGAAGGTACGTGTTCAGAACATAGAAATGCCCAATTGTTGAATCACAGATACACTTTTCAACAAAAGAATGCATGCAGATTTTAGGACTTTAAAAAGAAATTAGAATAGTTCTTCACCTCACAGTAAAGAAGATAAAAAACACCCAATTCACTTGAGGTTACATGAAAAAATCGGGAGAATCATTGGTAAGTGCTCCGATGCAGTCTGTTTATCTGAATTCCTAACATGCATTTTAGAATGAATTGTACGTGTTGTTTTACATACTTACGCCTTACATACAGATAGTGAGTGCTAAATAAAAATATTGGTTTTAAAATGCATAGAAAATTACAGGTTTGATTGCATGAGGAGTTTTCTGACTCACAGACTATTCATGATTCTTTGAGTGGCTTTAGATCTCAGTATATGTCAAATTATCAAATTTTTAATCCTATTCAACAGTAGCACTTCATTTTAACTGTCAGTCTCAACAATCGTTTACCAATAACGCTAGTCATTTTTTGCCTCAAGTTTCGCTTTATTAGGACTATTTTTGTTAAAATATAAGAACAAATGGTTAACACCACAAATGGTCTTACTTTTACCACTTTCATTTAACCCTGTGAGCTGTCATCTTCACACGAGGTCAAATGAATTGACCATTCTGCTAAATTTTCCCCTTAACTATCACCAAGTAGTAATGTATCCACATTTTGAGTTTACTGCCTACTATACTTTCACTCAGACTACAATAGCCTGTCTACAAATCACATTTCCATTTGCACTACCACACCTGCTTGTAGATGAGGCTTGGGCTGATTTGTACCAGCCACAGAACCTGAATTTCATACGTGTGCTTGTGGAATCAGGGTCTATTTTTAACTAGATGACCAACCGCTCTCTCTCGGCGCTGCTTCGTCTGCCTTGCAGACACTTGCGTTTGCATTTATACAGAGCCCAATTTCTGCCCCAAATATCCATGAAGGCTGATCTAAGGGTGAATGGGAGTAAGGGAAAAAACCCATCTCCTACCAAAAAAAAAGCAATTGCAACGCCTTTTTGCAGTGCCAAGATGAACAAGAATTTCTTCGCTGGCATTTTGTATCCGCCCTCCCTTACGTGGTATCGTTAATGGGATCCGCTTTGTTTGTTTGTACCACGTGTGCCTTGTTTCTAGACTCTGGAAGCACATAGTCGCAGATTGAACCAAACGCTAGTGATTACAATCACAGTGAATCCCGCTGCACGCACAAGTTTATGAATGAATTGAACGGAAATTCAAGGAAGAGTAGTTGGGGTTTATGCATGGGAGAGAGTTTGTAGTTTTATTGGCTTGCCATATATTTACGGAAATGGATGACATTCTGTAAATATGGAAGTTTTTATTCGCTCCTCACAAATAAAATTAAGCTTACTTCGCTGACCGTGCTCTTGACCTTTGGAAAAGGCACCAAAGCCTTAAAAAGCATTCAATCACCAAAAAAAAAACGTTTCTTTTTGAAACAAAGGAGGTGTCTTCGAGAGCGGCTTGGGGTTGTTTTTTTCTACTTCTGGTCTAGATCTGACCACATCTAAAAAAGGCGGTAATCTTTGATTCACTAAGGCCAAGGAAGTATAACTTTTGGTCGCCTATGCAAAATTCGCACAAAAAATTCACTTTACTTTCTTAAAACTTTGTCCTAAGACAAAATTTTTTTTTTTGAAACTCCATTTAAATTCGTCCCAAAACAACTGCGATCTTCAAGTTCGTCTTCAAAACTGCCACAATTGCAAAAACCATGAAAAAGAAATGCAAATCCATTCAGAAGTCATGGTGACGGTTTTGCTGATTTTCTCAGTTCTGGTATTATCTGGCTGCGAAAAAACTACTTGTTTGTTTCAGAAAAGAAATACTTTAGTTGGAGCTAAGGTCTGTACTCTTTTTTCGTCTCAAACAGATTGAATGTGATTGGGGTTAATATATGAAACTCAAAGCTGCTGTAGCTAATAGTCAAGCCTATGGGAGGTGCGCAACCAAGTGCCAGGACTACTTTGAACAGGCAAATGCACGACCTATTCTTGAGCGCCAAATGCGCGGATTTGCAGGAGCGCCACTGATGGTGAGGATTAGTCATGAGGGATTTGGGCATAATTAAAAGGGCTACAGTCTGAGAATGGCTGCATCTGGTGGCTAGGGTGCCGGAGACATGAAGCGTCCTCCTACTCCTCACTTTTGTTGATGCAAATCCAGCGTCTGTGTGCGATGTTTTAGCCTGTTCCTCGGCGCAGGACTGAAATTCGCCAAGTATCCGCAAATTTAATTGATAAAAATCGTTTCAAACGCAACAAGAGCTAGATAAGTCCCTGAAGGCGCTTTTCTTATAAAAGAAACAACTCACAGAGCTTTTATTTGCAAAATCGTGATAAATTCTGGTTAAAAACAATGGACCATCTACGAAATGAATGCGTTTTTTGCTAGCTAAAGGAATGAGAATAGTAGAGAGGGCGCTTCAAGAACAACTTCCACCTCGCATACGCGTATTGTGTACACTCAAAGAAGCTTCAGGCGGTGGAGTAAAAAAAGGGCTGATTTGTGGGATACACTACCAAAAGATGTTCATGCTTTGCTGATGAAATGCAAAAAAGAAAATGCCCCTTTTCTTGTTAGCAGAAGTGGAGGTAATGCCGGAGTAAAAGCCATGAAGGGCAGTAGTCAGCTGGGGGGATTTTATAGCCGACCTTGGAGGTCTGCCAAGAGGGCAAAACTCCCATAAATATACTTTGCAATTACGGTTTCACTATTAACAGATAAGACGAAAAGTTTATTTGACTTTTTTCTTCCATTTGTGAGGAAATTCTATGCAAATCAGCTCTTTAAACACAAGGTAGAGTAAATTTTCCAACTATACACACGGCTTCATCTCTCATAAAAAGGTGCAGCAGTTAATAAAATCACTTTGTTAAGATAATTTTTACACTTTGTACCCCTTCCATCTTCTTATTTCCTTTTTTACGTTTCAGCGACGAAAAATCGTAAGTCCGCTTTCTCCTACCCTATTCGTTATACTGTACCAAATCATTCTGAACAGCACTTTGTGATTGGCATAGACGATATGGATGAAACCTAAGCAAATTGCCATAGCAATAACTATAAGAACGTTTTCCTACTTATTAACATTAATTGACGCTCAAAATTTTCGATGAAGCAGTTTAAAAAACATTTCAAAAAAGAAGGAATGTGTTATCCAGCACTACTTGATATTCACTTCTATCAATAGGCATGTCTTTAAGGAACCCGCTAAGTCGGTGATTTTATTTTTAAAAATTCATTATTAATAGTTAGTCAGAATAATAAGCATTTAAAGTAATTTAAATTTATTAATCAGCCTGTCAGAATTAAATTAGTAGGTTAAAGTTGTTTTAGTAGTTAATTTATTAGCCAAGGTCTTTTAGCCACCATGGTGGCATTACTTCACTTTACATAAATAAAAACTTATATAACAATAAAAACTAAAGACGAACATGAAAATTATTTGGCGCTATAAATTTGTGAATGGGTGCTTACTTCCGAGTTTTATGGCTTAAGGCGTCTGGGTATAATTTCTAAAAATAGAGAAACAAGTTGCCTGCCACGGCATCAAAAAAAAAAGAATGTCTAGCGCCTCGAGTTTTCTCCGTAGACGGAAGACGACATAATAATGGGGTAGAATACATATTGACGACGTACAGAAGGGATGGGGGGATACTGGCATGGCCTGGAGGCCATCCCGTCCAGCAAAAGTGCAATAGTGGAGCCCTAATTCCCCGCGATATCATAACGAAGAATTAAACAAACAATCAAAGCATTACGTAGCCCCTTTTGTCCTTTGAACTTTGTTCCTGACGCGCCCCTTCGTCAAACCCCTCGCATTGGCCATCATGACGTAA